AGCTCCCCCTTTCAGTGCTGTTGCAATGCCTTTTCATCTTTTTAAAGTGTATTGTACTGCGTTATCAGTTGGGTAACTCTCATATTAGATTTATTGTTTTGAAAAATGATTTTTCTCACAGGATATTCAGCTGATGAAAATTTCTTTGGATTAGGCACTGATGCCTATAAATAGCAAAAGAATCTAAGCTTTGCTCTTGGTAATGATTGTAGCTAATACAACCTGCAAATTTCAGCTTTCTACATTGACAATTCTTGGGAATAATGAAATGTTCCAGACTTCTATAAAATTACTCCAAGAATTACGTATTTTTTTCATATTTACTTGATTCGTAGTGCCCTCATGCTTATCCAGTCGAAAGTTGCAAGCCACAAGTTAAATTTGAAATAGTCCCTTGGCTTTAATCTTGGGTGATGCAAAGTCCTTAAAATGCCATTTCAGCTTTTTGTTACATTATGTAACATTTCTGAATTAATTTCTGATTGGTTTTCTAATTCTGTTTCTTCTGTGTGCTGAGGTTCACAGGTCTCTTACTGTGAGGGTGCAACCTGGAAGCAGAGTCAGAACTCCCAGTTACTAATTTACTGATTTATATGGGGGGTGTGTGGGTGTGGTGTGTGGGTGTTTTTCTGCTTCCACAGTATCAGACAGACCCAGCTGGAGTTCTGGCCTCAGGAAGTTTTTGAGGAAACTTCCAAAGCGCATTTCATTTTTCTGCTTTGTTGTTTATTTGTGGTTGTTATTGAAAACCGTGTCTATGGCAAATGTTCATCCATGTCACCATGCTGTGTTTGATTTTAAACTGGACAAATGTGAGAGTAACACTCTGAGTTCTGCCTTTCCTTTTTGAGACATTGAAACGTGTACAAGCTTTGGGGAAGGAATAAGGCTGAGAAAAGTCAAAGCCTGAAATTACAAGTTTGCTTCTGCTCCGCAGAGTTTCTCCCTGTGGAGCAGCAGACTCAGGGCTGTGAGTTTATCTCAGCTTTAAACTAAATCTTATCTCTTTACCTCTAGAGCTTTGCAGTGTTTCCATGTCACTCTAGACTTTTTTTGTATTACTTTCTAGACATGTGTTTGCTAGTAAGATGTACCACTTCCAGAGATTCACAGCTGTGCAGCAGTTTTGGATCTGCCCTTTGCACCTCTACTTTCTGCAGTTATGCAGCCCAATTATTTTGTTCTCTGCAGTGATGAGTGCAGATGAGAAGATCAAGGGTTTCGTTTGGTTTGGTTTAGTGGATCTCCCTGCATCAGTTCTAGAAGTAGATGCTAGAAGAACAGCAGCATTCCCCAGGAAGAATGAATGCTGTGACTCAGAGCTCTGCCCCTTTGTGTTCTAGTTGTGGTAATTAACAGGGCCAGTAGGAAATATTTTAAAGTGTGTAAATTTGAAGACTGTTATTACTGATCTGGAAACCCAGAAGTCAGGATACTTGAAAAGCAATTGCATAGAATCCCTTTTTACACTTAATTTAGGTTTTAAGTTATTGCAAAAAATTCTATTTATTCCAGTATTCTATATTAGAATTTCTAGTTTTAAAAGAAACCAAACTCTTCCAGAGATTCCTATTTTGAAATCTTTATTCTGTCTTCATACCTTTTATCTCTAAGGTAAAGGATGTAAATAAATAAGTTTATTCTGTTATTAATCGAATTTTTTTTCCTGGCCTGTGGGTTTTGGGGTTTTTTTTGTCTTACAGGAACTTGCCACTTGCTATTGCAGTGTCTATGCCAATTGTGACTGTTATCTATATTATGACCAATATAGCTTACTATACAGTGCTGGATGTCAAAGCCGTTCTTTCTAGTGATGCTGTGGCAGTGGTAAGTTGACCGTGCGGTATTCGCTATATTATTCACTTTTCACCTTTTAGGGATGCATTTCATTTTGAGGAACAAAACAGGAAAAATCCCTAGTTTCTTATAGTACTTCACTGAATACAGGAGGACAGAACAACTCGTCATGAATAATTTAAATAGAAAAGTAGGTAATGAAATTACATGTAATAATAATATACTGTCAGATTTATTAAAACAAGCACAGATGCATCTTGTTAATGTATTTTGCGAAGATGCTAATTAGACTGGTGCACTTTGAGCTGATTGTAAATTAGGCTCATTAATACATAATTGTCTTCTCTCTTCCTTCATGCTGCAGTATTTAGAAAGCTGGAGCAGTATGCAGAACAGTGTTGCATGGAGCTACGTTCTGTTGAGCTAATAATTGGTGCGATGCATATCTGTAAATGGATGTGTTGCAGGTCAGCTACGACAAAGTTTAGCATTGTATCTCTTTTGTAATAAATTAAGTCACTATCTTCCCAGCTTTGTATTAATTCCAACAAATTTTAATATTTTTGAATTCCTTATTTTTGTATATGGAGGGAAGTTTGAATCCAGTTAAAATATATCAGCTTCTTAAAGTAAAAGCTGGTCACAGCATGTTTTATACTTTAAGCTAATCATTAAACAAAAGTGAAGGGTTTTTTTTTCCCTGTAGCTAGTGAATTAATTGGATAGTTCTGATTACTATATGCTTTAGACTTAAGACTTGGAAAATTTAATCTTCTTTTTGGTTATTTAAATTGGAGGAAAATAAATAGCTATCCTCCCTTTTAGATTCCCAAGTGGCTTCTAAAATGTAAGTAGTTAGACTATGGACAGAGAGTTTTAAATACATCAAAATGAAGGAGATATTCACTCTGCTCCCATAGAGGCATATGATTAAGAACTGGCTTAGCAAATCAGCAAACTCTTGTTTCAGGTATTTAGGCAGATGGTTCCACACAAGCACTTACTTGACTTTCTTTCAAACTTGAGAAATATTTATATTTAATGTAAGCTTTCAGAATAGTTTATGGTAAATGTGGGATATAACTTGTTATTTCAAATGTAATTATGCAGATGTTTATTTCAAAATGTATTGAAAGTAAATACATTTTAATTCTTTGCCTCTTTTTAGCTGGAATATGGAAATACAAAGTTTTCATAAAATATATTGTGAAAAACTTGGTAAAACACTTCAGAATGAAACAAGACAAGGACAGAAAATATTTAATTTTGAATCAGTATATGCTAAGGGGTAATAAAATCTTCAGGAATATTTATTTCTGTTGTAGGCTATGCTATCCCATATAAAGTACCTTCCAGTGACTCATAATGGAATTTTAATTCTTGTCTAGAATTAATTAATCCAGACAAAATTAAAAGCCAATACACAGTCCACTGTCAGTCCCAACTTCTGTAAAGCAATGCACCATCGTTTTTTTCTAACAAACACTTGGAAAATACACTCCTTTGACGGCAGTGAAATTCTGCAATCCAGCCTATCCTCTAAGAGTATTCTGTGCCTACTCTACTGCTTCTGGCCTTTGTCATCACAGAGGTTTATACAGCTGTTTGGTGAATGGGATCAGGAAGACTGATCCACCCTGGGAGTTTGGGGGAATGATTCACTGTGGGTCTGTCCAGTCTGTGTTGCTGTACACAGCAAGTGGCAGCACTGCAGCGGCAGTGGGTGGCCAGATAAAGGAGGGACAACGGATGCCTGAACCTTACTACACATGTGAAACCCAGGCCTAAATTTTTGTGATTTTATATAGACTTCATGTAGTTGTTCTTTGACATTGTTCTTGACCAAAAGTGAATATGTATTTATTTTTGTGTGTGTATGTACGTTTATGTATATACACACGCTGTGTAATTTTACATGAACTGGACACATCAGATCTTCCTCTCTAGTATAGGATGCATCTGGACATGGAGGAGAAAAAAGGAAGACTTAAGAATGGTATAAATCCGTAGTCAATCTAATTGCATGCAGAGATATTGGGTGACCAGGATAAGAATGAAAAAATACATTTGCGATTTCCAAAGTTATTAGGGGATTTGCTTCTTGTGCTAATTTTAATGAAACTTAACCAAATGAATGACTTCAGAAGTCTAGAGCTGTGCTTTTTCACTAGATCTCAGGATTGCCAAATACTTCCACTTAAAAGTTGAACTAATGTTCTATCTAGAGGTGTTTTTGCTGAGACGTCTCATCAGCTGGCAAACAGTGGTCTTCTGATTGCCACTACTTACATCCCTTTTAGAATGACAAGGTGAAAGTGCAGCTGAAGTTTAATATTTAACACATGACTTACTAAAGATTCCTTTTCATTGCTGATATGAATTTAATTGCCCAGTTTTATGACACCAACTTTAAGCTTGATCTACCAATACATTAGCAAGTAGTGTGGACCACTGGAAGGGTGTCTGTGCCACTGCAGTTGACACTGAGGACCTGACATACACAGTATACATCCTTCAGGGGTATTTTTACTTTGGATTACCTCTAGTGAGGTCCCATGGACTGAATGCTTATGTGTGGTTGGATTGCAGTAGGTATGCTCTTGAAGTGCATCTTCCAATTTAGCCTGCTCTAAAAGGGAAGCTTCCTTTATCTCCCATGCTAAACAACGCGAACCAAAAAGCAGTAAGTGGCAATAATTGGGAGAGTTGCTTCAAAAGTGCACTTGCAGTCCAAATTAAAACACTCATAATGCACCTGTAGTTTTCTAATGAATAGGGGAAAAAAAAGAGCTAATGATTGTAATGGTCTGTATTTGAAAACCCTCCTATAATACAGAAATGTAAAAATCTTCATGGTAAAATTTCTCTGGGTGGTTGAAGAGAATTTTATCCTCAGTGGAATCTTTAAGAAGACTTAGGGCATTGTGGTCAGTGGATGAATGAAGAAAGGAGATGAGAATTAAGCCATTCAAAAAACTAATCTGATGAAAATGAGCCACTTTGACCTGCTCACGTGTTCTACATGTGATATATGATACAGATTGCTGTAGTTTCCTTATTGCCCTCTATGTAGTTGTAGGGTGAAACTTACAATAATTTTTTAAAGAAAAAAGGTAGTAATATTGCTGCATTTTAGAGCCTTTTGTGTAGTAAAGCAGCAGTTAAATTTAATCTTTCCTTGCTGATATTTTGGGAAGGAATGCAGTAGCTTTCTCTTATTCATTTCAGTCAGGAGGCTTTGAGCTGGAAAGGGGGGGGGGAAGCCGTTTCCAGTTTCTAAATTATGAGAGTAGAACTTATAAGTAAAAGAAATACTGCTAATAGTGTATCTTTGGACATCGCATTGCATACTGTTTTTCTTGGTGGCTAGGAGGTGAAAGAAGTCTTACTAAGGGAAGACATGGAACAAAATGATAAAATGTCCTTCTTTTACTTCAGTATCAGCTTCATTGTGGTATAGTCCCAGTGTTGGGGCTAAAACTTTTTTTTTTAAGCTCTTTCTTGTTGAAGTAATTTAAGTAATACAGCGACGGCTAGCTTAAAAGTTCTGCAGATGCTCTTCAGACGGTTGCTGATCATGTAAAAATCGCTTCCTTTTTCAAAGATTCCTGTCAGAGTTTCAGAGCTGACTTCTGTTTTACCTCCTTATACAAACCATCCCAACCCTTACTGTTAAGTTTTTATGCATATGAAGCAGATACTCTGTAGCACAAACACAAATAAATAAAAGCAGAAATTTTATCTCACCTTCCCCTGTCACTGAACAAGTATTTTTTTTGTATCTGAGAGAGCCACTGTATTTTTTGTTTGTGAAGAGGGCAGCTGGCTCCACAAGCACTTTTTGGGCTGCTTCATCTTCTAACAGGAAAGAACATACTGGCGGCCAGTGCATAGCTTCCAGTTACCTGCTTCCTGTGCTTAGTCATGGCTGGGGTTTTTTGACTGAGTTCATACAATGGGTGATATTTGGCAGCTTACTTCTTTTACTTGGAAAGCTAAAAATGATTCCTGGTTGAAGCAAATGGTTGCCTTGCATAGCTGGCTGTCATCTTTCTTGGGGCGGTACAGCTTTGTCTGTAGATTGGGGATAAAGATGACGACTTCAGCTGCATCTTTGAATACCATCTTGCGAGTCCAGCATTGATCGATCCCATTTACCCTGGTGTACTCATATTCTAGAGCAGACTTACTTTGCTTTGACGTGTCCTCGGAATGTGGGAGGCTGTGTGTTTTAGCCGTTTTATTCTTCTTTGGTGTATAATTGAGCAAATGATGAGTCTCTTTCTTCTAACTGAATTCAGCCAGAAATTCTCCAGTTACTCTTAGACCTTTTGGGTATTACTTCTCTTCCTTCATTTGGCCAGTCACTGGCTTCTTTTGTGAAGAGGAAAAGCTTGTCTTTGGCTGCCAGTGTCACGTCCACCTTCTTTGCTTGCCGTGGCACCTCCCAGTGCGGTTCCTTTGGACAAAATTTACATTCTGTAACTTATGATGGAAGAACTTTTTATTAGGGACAGGCAGTTGCTTTTAGAAGAGCGTAAGTAATTTGCCTTCTTTCTTGGGACTAGCTGTAGTTCACCACCAATGCAGCATTCCTGTTGCCAGGTATTTAGCAGTTCTCTGGCTTTGGAGGCCAAGCTGAAGAGTTGAGCCAGAACTTAGGAGTGCTACATAATATTTTCAATATGAGAAAGATAAGAGACTTTGGAAAACACTGATCCCTTATACTATAGCTAGCTATTAAAAATGCTAAGAACAGGATAAATGCCTGAGAAGATTTAGATGAAGTATCTTCAGCACCTCCGTGAAGACATAAACAAAACTGTTTTACTGTTGAAGCTGGCTTCTGTAAACTTCATGCGGGCCCTGTGGAAGAGACATGTTACATGCAGTAGACAGGCAATATATTAACGCAGTAGAGTAGTTCTGGTCTCTCTTACCATAAGATTGTATTGAGTGACCAAAAGATGAAGAGAGAATTTCATGCTGGACCTTGCACTGCACCGAAACCTTTTTCTGCAAGAAAAGGC